TGCACTTAAATTCATAAAGTCTATATACCATAGCGGAAAGTTCATCCGTACAATTGCCATAAAGGTACTTCTAGAACAGCATATGTTGAGGAACCTTTTCTATAAATATTTTCAGAGTAATTGTTTGGATGAACACTTCAGTATTTTACCTGGACTTTATGATTTTGTTGTAACCTAGGAAGGGTTAATAAATTAGGAATAACCAAATCGGGGGTGGGAAATGAAATGGTAATCTTTATAACATAATCACAATTCTATACTCGTAAGCGGCGTGAAGTAGGTAACCCACTGCTAGTAGTGGACTGCATAGACAGCATATTACCCTCACTTACTTTCGAAGTATTTATAAGGATTGGAACATAGCCATTAGTGTTAATAGGTACAGTATATAACAGAGTTTAAACGCAGTACTAAATTGTCGGTAAGGTCTCATCAATTTACAAATGAATTGGCTAGAAGTAACAGTAAGTTCTATGCTAACACTTTCTTTACCAGCGCTTGACGCGTGTGGAACTCATTTTCGGTTCCATCCTTTCCGACCAACTTTGATCTTCCAAAATTTAAATTTAATATCAATCGTTTATCTACCGTCCTTTTGATTACTATTCTAATGTTTTCTCTCTTTAATAATTCTTCTTTTTTTTTCTCTTCTTTCAAACTCAGTAAATCTGTAAAAGTCCCAATGGAATAACGAAAGGAACCTTCCCAAAGCTAAGCAAAGTATAAAGCGACAGGAAAATTTCATTATAAGCAAATAAGAGTGCTGAACTGCTATGCGATATTAATTATCCTATGCAGCAGTGAATGTTGGACACTTTATTCCCAGATAAAGAGAAAACTTGAGGCAGCAGTCATGTGGTTCTACAGAATGATGATGAGAATAACATGGATGAAACTGATGAGAAACGAGGAACTTTTAAGGAAAATGGAAACAAAGAGGACTTTCGCTGCTTTTTCTCTACTTCCACGGAAGGTTCTCGGGCGAATTACATTCCTTGACCCCGCCGAGTCAAAGCCTTCACAGCAAGAACACGCCATGAAACGGACATAGCAGAAAACCACCCACCTTACCTTTGTATCCTATCGCTGATAAGTAAGTTCTACTCGAGCAGCTCCTTCTCACGAACGACTTCTCTCTAGAACCGACTTCCAGCAGGATATTTCCCCGATCGCTACAATCTTAACCTGTTCAATGCTAGGGTTAACCGTTATCCTTCACTCATATACGCAAAAATGGACTCTTAACGTAACCCTCTAACTCGAGTGACTTCCGGGGCTTGTAAAGAGTGAACTTTACTGTAAAAGGAAGAAAGAGTTGAAATTTCTTGAAACATAATGAGGAAAGCAGGTTCGGAAAGTTTGAAACACACAGGACATGTTGAAGTTGTGAGGGGCTGAGGGAATTAACGAGTAGCATATCTAACAGGAGGCAAACAGTACATAGAGATAGGTGTTACAATTTTTGGATACATTAGACTAGTGAGCCAACTCAAATGACTTGACTCACTTTATAGTCCACCAATAGAAGGTTAACCAATCAGAAGACGTAAAATATTCAATCCGTCGTGTATAAAGGCGGCCATTTTGTTTACTCTCTCCGAATGTCCAGTGCCAACTTGTCAGGCGAAGAGGAACAGAAGGAAGAACTACTAAACTACGCTCTGCTACTTTACCGGGATATCCACTGCTAACCTGAACAACGCTTCCCTACTGTCTTCGAAATATTCACTGCTAACCTCTGGATTCTATACTCAAAGACGACCGTCATCATGAACAACAATGGGAAGTATAGGAAATTGTGGAGAGCCGTGTCCTGAAGAATAAAAGAAGACAAAAGATAATTAACAATTCTTTTTTCTTTCATATATCTGAGATCGGTATTAAGTGAAGAAAATAATCAAAGCTATATAGTTTGATATTCAATCATTTCCCTATTACTCAGCCGTTCTATTTATTCGTGATAAAACCTGATTCATCCAAACAGGAGACTATCTTCTATTCATACAATATCAGTTTCATCATCCGTGTGCTCACTGAAACGTTTTCGGCGATGGATATTGCTTAGCATGTGTACAGTGTTTGGGCTACGGCCATGTAGACCACCTAAAGAGCAAGGGCCTGTGCACTATGTATTGTGACACTGTTATCTCCGTTCTTGGTAGAAAAGCCTACGTCCACTTTTTGCATCGATAGGTTTTGTCGGCAGTTGGTCGTTACCAATAGGTACTCATCGCAACTGAATATGATCACGCTACAAGACGTACTATTTTGGAAATGTTCCGATACAGTTTTATAACTCTAACAAATTGGTCTTTATCAAAATTACTCAACGCCTCAAAAAAAAAAAAAAAAAAAAAAAAAAAAGAAGCAAATGACACGAACTGTTGTCTCTAAACAGTAGAAATCATTCTTAAAACATATCACTGATCATATTTTAAGGCCGTTTAAAAAAAAAAAAACAGGAAAAATTTTCTGGGTTATGATTTTTATAGCTTAGTATCCTTAGACCTTCCTGTAAGGACAACATTTGTGAAACATTTTTTTAATCGAATTCACATCAAGTAAGGCAGTAAATCAAATTCACCCCATGCAAGGCAGTAAAGTCACTAAGAAACAAGGGATTGCTGGGTGTGAAAGAATTACAAAACAGAAACATTACGAAGGAGCGAGAATAGCAGAACAGTAATCAGGAGGACGGTATATAACGATTGACATTGCATTTAAATTTTTTCCGGAAATCATTGAGCTGCCTTCATACCTCGCACTTCTCGCCTGTGGAACACCCTTCCCAATTACAGTTTCCCTGAGAGCTATAATCTCCAACTATTCAAATGTAATGTCAATCGACATCTTCAGTTACCTTGATCTATCCACTATCCCTCTCTTCATCCTTTCTTCTATCACTCCTGTCTGCTCTTGCTCCAAATCTTCTGCAACCCCCTGCATCCTAGTGGCTTCACGCCTTGCTCGGGGCGTAATGCTTAAAAAAAAAAAAAAGAGAGAGTTCCAGGAGCGAGAAAAGAAACTGATAGCATAGAACTTCCGGTTACATCTAACCATTTCAACTATGAATTGATGGGACCTCGCCGCCAATCTAGTACTGTGCTTATATTCATAAAATTTAGGTGCCATAGCGAAGAGTCCATCCAGATAATTAACATGAAAGTATTTATAGAAAAGGCACTGGGAAACAACTATATGGTGGTGAGAAAGTGACTGAAACCGAAACGCCGAGTCACGACTAATAATATTGCTGATTCATTTCAGCCGTTCTACTCTCCGGCCTTCTTCAGGTGATATACGTTGGAATTTCGAATTGAACCCTTAATTTCATACAACGGAATAGATTGTTCTAGTTCCACGTGACATGCCTTTTTCGGATATCTAAGTTTCAGCTTCAGTTATTTCCCTTTAGTAAATCAACGCTCCAAGTTTTTATTCACCTCTGCCGTGGCGAGGTATTGAGCTCAAATCTCTTTGGGTCAGGTCACTGGATTACTTCAACCTACGCTTTTATTCACTGGGCCCAGAAGAAGGCCGGAGCGTACAATGTAAGCCACTAAAACACAGGGGGTTATAAAGTGTGGAAGAATTAGGAAGAAGAGAACAGAGTAATCAGGAAGACAGTAGGTAGCGTTTGATATTGCATTTAACTTTTTGAAGATTAAATTTGGCCGGAAACCGTGGAACCGGATGTGAGTTCCATAAGCGAGAAGTGCGTGAAAAGAAACTGTTAGTATAGAATTTACGACGACATCTAGACAGCTCAACTGCAAATTATTGAGTTATCGACACCCGTCTAATACTGCGTTTAAATTTTTAAAAAAATCGAGGTACCATAGCAAAGAGCGGTATTTATTTGTGAAAATACAAAATGTGGCACAAGGCCAAAATGGGGAATAGAACGGTCTTTTTCTTTCTTAAATTTAAACTTAGCTAGCCACAGTCACTAACCTAATCATAGTACAATATTCCTAACAATAAAACAACGCATTCCTACTTACCATTCTTATTTCATCCACCATAATACCTCAATGTCTCTATGAAAAACCTACCTAGCCCCCATATGTACATAGCGTCTTTGGGGAGAGGGGAATAAAGCAACAATAGCATAGCAAAGACCTCACCCGAACATGAAAGTATTTATAGAAAAGGCACAGAGAGGCAACCTTACAGCAGCGGGAATGTGACTGAAACCGAGCCGCCAGGTCAGGACCCATAATATTGCTGATTCTTCTTTGGATTGTACCAAGGAGTTCAAGGTAAACAGCGGGAGCATCGGATCATATAAGGCAGCAATATTCTAAGCATGGACGAATGGTAGATTATAGATATGTAAGATGAATTCTGGAGATAAAAAAATGTCTCGCACGATACAAAGAGCCAAACTTCTTAGCAACAAACCCAGCAATGGATTCAATATAGTTTATTTTTCACTTTATGTTAGCTGAATAAAAAAAAATTTATTATTGAATGTGTAGAAAATTGAATTTTGGGGAAAACCTGTGTCGTTTGCAATGTAACATTTTTTTAAATATATATATATATATATATATATATATATATATATATATATATATATATATATATATATATAAAGCGGGTTACAGTATATAGAATTCTTGGCTAAATTTATTCATTGAAATATACGCCCGGAAGAAAAGTGGCTAAATTTACTAAAATACGTGTTTTTGTTTAAATCTGCTTTCTTGCTTTTTTTCTTCTCGATTCATGATTGTCTTGCCGTTACTTTCTGCGGTAGACTGGTTGCCAACAAAGGCTATAAGACCCAGTCAATGCTGCTGTTTAACCCATATCTGTGGGGGAGAAAAGTTGGATTCCTACCTTTTTAAAGATTTTTGCGTGTAAGTGAATGTAAAGAAAACGACCGGAATTCGAACTCGACTCTCCAATTTCTCATTTTGAGTCGTTATCCAACACACCACCCGCACATCCACTACACCACCCACACATCCACCACACCACCCGTAGATCCAAGCTTCCAGCAAATGGTATTTCCAAGCGGACCCACCAAGGTACTGGCCAGTCTTAACGTTGCTTAACTTACGTGATCAGAAGAGAACAGGTGTTTCTACGGGATATGGCCGTAAATATATGAACATCTGTGTATAGAGTAACGTAACGTGTTTCCAAGGTGAAAAATTCGCAGCTCCACCAAGAATGGGGATGAACTGTAACGTTTAAACATCGATACTTTTCCACTTATGTAACATGGAGTTCCGTCCATTTGGCATATACTCTTGCAAGTTTCCATAAAAAAAAAAAAATTATTGTTGGTCATTGAAATTCTGCTATGCTATTGGTTTCACCTCTGCATAATTTTAACATTCCTTCTATCTCGAGTTCCTTTTACAGTTGGGAAAAAGGAAATCCTCACGTGGCGCAAAAATCTAGTGAGTAGGAGGATGACCCAGGGACTAAAAACCCTCATATTATTCTCAACAGACAGCTTTGTCAGCTCTGTGAGCAGATGCAGAAAAAGTAAACATCTTTTCAATTTTCCTCACTGTTCTTCAGTCAATGCTCCATTTAATCGGTAAAGTAACCTTCTGTGGCAACATTATACTGCATTAATTGTGGTATCAGGATGACTGTTAACATGTGTCCTTGTACAGCTGATATATGACAAACCGCCTGCCACCGACATTGAGTTTGACAGACAAAGAATGACAATAATATAAATATAAATGGCCGTACCTTTTAAATAAGGCTGTAAAAAAAATCTGGTGCTAATATTTTGGTCACGTGTGGTACATAGTCGGTAGCTAATTAAACGCACGATACCAGTGAGTACAAAATAACCAGTTTTTATAGCGTTTTGTGAGCTTCAAAAGGTTTAAAGAATTTTGTTTTTTCAAATTTCATTTCTGATGAGTTAAAAATGTTCTTTGAAGTCACGTGCCTGAATATACGTGGTTGACTTTAGAAACGTATTTTCCTGAAATTTTTATTTTAAAAGAAATATTCTATTAACGTTAACTGAGAGTAGAACTGACTGTTAGGTCAATGAATACCGAATGTTTTCATATAAGGAAATGGCTAATATTATCATTAGAGATGAGGAGAACAGATACTACACTTTGATTCCAACCCAATGACCAAGGAGTGAAGAAAACGTAACTCGAGTAGCACTGTCTGCTTGGTCAATGAATGCCAAATGTTTTCATATAAGGAAATGGCTAATACTACCATTAGAGATGAGGAGAACAGATACTACACTTTGATTCCAGTCTGACGGTCAAGGATTAAAGAAAAGCATAATTCGAGTAGCACTGTCTGCTTGGTCAATGAATGCCGAATGTTTTTATATAAGGAAATGGCTAATATTACGATTGTCATTACAATTTCAAACACCTTTTTACGGATGAGAAACGGGGAATAGAAAAATGGACCAAGTAGGTTGGATGGTCTATGCACTCAAATCTGGAAATTCTTCAAAACAGCCATCGTTTTGACAGCTCTGTCAGCAGGAGGTTTTGTTCTGAAAAAAAAAATGAGAGCAGTCTCTCTCGCTTTTTTCTTTCAACGCTTCCTTTAATCGGCACAGCGAATTATTTCATGCGTTAGCTGGTTAATTCTCTGATGATTGTCATTCATCAAAATATCTTCCTTATCCTCGCAAAAAAATTGTGGACATGATTTTCCCTCTTGACTTTTCTGATGTAATCATGTTTCTTTAAAATTAACAAGTCGTTCTAAAAACATTATCACTTATTTATTTATTGGTCAAGTTAGCTCGAAAATTCATGAGTCTATCACGCCAACTATCATGGCGTTAGCTGGTCAATGTAGGTTGTTTCTGGTTGACTAACTCGTCTTGCTCCATGGCTAGGTGTCCAGAACAGTAGATCTCTTGCGAGTTCTTGTTTTGCTCGCCATCACTGTCCTGCAAATCGCAAGTTTTACTTTATCACCAAGTCGATATCCTGCAAAAAAATTGACAGATATTGACTATCCAGATGACTTAGCTATCACTACAAACACCATTTACAATGCTACAGTTCTACATAATCTAGAAAATGCTGCCAACAATTCTAATACCTCTAAAACTGAATTCATAAGCTTCAGCCAGCAAGGCTTAATACAAACTGTCTCAGGTGAATCAATAAATTCTGTCAAATTATTTACATACCTAGGAAACGAGATCAATTATACTGAAAAGAATGAGAAAAAATGCATGGCTAAAGACTATGCCGCCCTGAATAAAATTAATGTAATCTGGAAGTCTCATCTCTCAGCCCACGTCTAGTGGAAATTCCTTCCAGCCACTGTAGAGGCTGTTTTAATGTATAGTGCCAATGCCTGGACATTAACTTAATAGTCGCTAGATGCGAGAAAACGTTGCAGGATCAACTCAACATTTTGGCACGAATTGGGCTGACTGCTTCTGCTTATCCAAATATTCATGGTTTATAAATCAATTGTTATTTAATGTCTTCTTCATTCCTCTTCTTTTATTGTCCTCGCTTCTTAATATTTTTGTTATCCTTTCATTTTCAGTACCATCCTTGTGTCTTACTTGCCTTATTGTCTTTCTTAGGGCGAACAGATTAAACAGACACATGCACGCACACAGATATAACTATATATATTAAATTAACTTGAAAAAATTTCCTTGTTTGTGTAACGACTTGTTCTTTTCACTAATAGCGCGTGGAACCCAAACACACTTGGTAACTTTTTGTATCTTATCTAAGAAAATATCTAAGCGGTCTTTTTGGTAATTAATTATTTTCCACCCTACAACCCCTTTCCCACGAACGGAATGTTGCAAGTCTCTCCCTATTATATCGCTATTTCCATGGAAAGTGCTCAAACGAACTGTATTCCTTAGTTCCACCTGTTCTAATCTTCGAGTATAAGACCCACCATGGCGCGCAAATTGTAAGGAATCATCCTTATTTCTTTTGTATTATATTGGTGAAATGTAAGTTCTACTTGAGCAGATTCTTCTCACGGATCGGTGCTTTTTGGAACCAACTCACAAGAGGATGTTTTTCTGGTCACTAGAATCTTAAATTGTCCATATCCAGGTTTAACCGTTATCTTCTCCACATATCCTCATAAACGGTGCGGTTTAGCTCTTATTCTGTAACCTTCTACCTCGAGCGGCTCTCAGGCGTTTTACAGTGTGAACATTATTATAAAAATGTGTCTGTAGCATTATTCCATTGCTGGAACTCCCATAACATTATGAGATATAACTTCTCTTTCAGTCACTGTACTTTTGGTTGTCAAGATATTTATTCTTGAATCAACTGTATACGCTACCAATGCCGTGCAAAAAACTAAGGTGTATTAGTACATTTTACATTTGTTCTTAACTACAGCATCTGATTAGTAGTTAGGATAATACATTCATCATTACAGCTGGGTTCCACATTATAGAAAATACTTATGACTGTGTAATATATATATATATATATATATATATATATATATATATATATATATATATATATATAAGTGGATATTAAAGTCAACGACCAGAGTTGACAATCTGTTTTTCATACTAAAGGCAATCAACACCTTCATATTTACATACACTCTATTCCAGATATTTAGTACATTAATCCATAAATTTAGTATACCATGAAACTATATTTTATCATTATATATATATATATATATATATATATATATATATATATATATATATATATATATATATATATATTATATTTTAGGATATTAAAACAAAAACTTGTTAAAAATCGCTATACGATTACAATCCTATTTCAAACGGCTTTGAAAATGATCTACTAAGCATTATTAACGATATCTCTAAAATAGGGATTATTTTCAGAGGCAATTAGATTCTAGTGTTAAAGATATTAATAGATCTAACAAAATCTTTGCCAAGTCTGAGAAATCTGCAAATTCTTATAAATTTAATCCTAAAGATTATGATACTTTAATTAAAAAATAACTAAAAATTATAAGAAGTTCGACAGTAACACTATTAATTTAGTTGATAGAATTAACACTGTCTGTAAAAATATAACCGATAAACTTAAAATTAGCAATAAGATTAGTAAGATCTGCACCAAAGAATCGTATGTATTAATTAAAGATCATAAACCAGACTTTGAGATCAAACTACCACGAAGATTATCAACCCTACCAGACCAGAAATTAACAGTGAATTAAAAACTTTGATGTTCACTTTGATATCGCTATGGGATTCTGTAGATTCTTCTGACCTGGTGGATTTATTTATCCGATACAGTCTTAATGCTTAAGAGGGGGTTAACATTGATAGGTTATACAGAGATGATGGCCTTATAGTAGTAAAGAATTCTACAAGAATTAAGGTTGACATATTAAGCAAAATGATTCATAGGGATTTAAAAAGCTTAAACCTTAAGGTTAAGATAACTACTAATGTTAAACGACTTGACTTCTTGACGTTACGTTAGATCTTGTTAATGTATTCCAACCTTATATGAAAAATAATGCTAACCAAATATATATTCACCCCAATTCTAACTACTTTCCATCTGTATTCAGGCATATAACCTCATCTATAGAATGTAGGAATAGCAAAAAGTCATGTAACAAAGATGTGTTTATAATACTGCTTTAGAAAATAGTAGTTACAAGTACGCGGAAACCAAGTATAGAAAATACAATAATATTGATCCGAGGAAAAAGAATAGGAATAGGAAAATCATTTGGGACCCCCCCATTTAACCAAATAGTCAGTTCTAAGTTAGGCCAGAATTTCCTCCATTTAATTGATAAACATTTCCATAAAAGTAACCTTCTTAGTAAAATATTTAACAGAAACACTTAAATCTAAGTTATAGCTACACCGATAATCTCGAGATGATTATAAATATATAATAAGGCACATCTCAAGATAAATACTGTTAACAATATTAACCAATGCAATTGCAAGGATTCTAACAAATGCCCATCTCGAAACCAATGTTTAATCAATTCTCTTGTTTATCTAAGTACTATTTCTACAATAGAGAATCCGACTGTTGAAAAATTTTATATTGGTAGTACTAAGAATTCTTTTAAAACTATGGGGTATCAACATATCTTATTCTTCACCAATAGTACTTATAAAATAGTACATCT